GATGGAATTTCAAAGAGCAGGAAATGGGGTCGTTTTTTCACATTGGTTAAAGCGGATCGTGTTGGTATTTAGTGATGATGAAATCCAAGGTTAACTTTACACACACATATGTTGGTCGATATGTTTTTCATTTAACTGCGTTTTAGTGTGTTCAGTTATTCGATGCAGAATTCTTTTTCTAAGCTTTTTGTTGTAACAGCTTTAGTTATAGTAAAGTGCATGAACACAGCAATAATTAGAAAATGTATATTTAAACTTGACGCGATGACTTCAACACACACAAAGTTATATATATATATATATATATATATATATATATATATATATATATATATATATATATATATCAGAGGCGTAGCGACCCTTCCCGGCGCCCGGGGACAAACTTTTCGATTTGCACCCCCCCCCCCTCGAGATTTCGATTAGCACCCCCCCACGATATTTCGATTTGCACCCCCCTCCCCCCTCAAACTTTCGATTTGCACCCCCCTGAACCTTTCAATTTATTTTTCCAACCCATTTTGGCGCCCCCTAAGGTCGGCGCCCGGGGACATATGTACCTCCCCCCCCCCGCCCCCCCCCCCCCCTCGCTACGCTACTGATATATATATTTATATATATATATATATATATATATATATATATATATATATATATATATATATATATATATATATATATATATATATATATATATATATATATATATAAATATTTTTCTTTATATTTAATATTATATGTACACATATATATTAATAAATATGTGTGTATGTGTGTGTGTGTGTTTGTGTGTTCACGTGTTTGTGTGTGTGTGTGTAATTACTTTACAAGTTGTCAAATTTTATCTTAACCAGAATGTTGCCCCTGAGCCCCTTTAAATCGCTCGAATACAGTCCTACACAAAAGACAGTCCATTCGTCTGAGCAAAATGTGGTGGATTCTATTGACCCGACTCCATTTGCTGGACTCTCCACTCACAGATTCACTGTATGTTTCAGGTGTTGGACTGTAGGTTTTCTTCTCGCCCAGAGCGCTTGCCGTGTTCAGTATCTTATCTGTATATATAATTCTCTTCGGGGAGACGCTAGAAAACAAGCTGTAAGCGCGCTCCCTACCACCCCCACCACTACATGGTCTGGTGAGCTGTTGTTCACTCTTTAATGTTTACAAACAGAGCCGGGTTTAGTGACGACTATTAGGGGCAGATAATTTAGTTTGAAACGATTTTAAACGTAGGGTGTAGGGGGGGGGGGGGGGGGTAACTAAGTGGAGTTTACTTTAACGGAGGGGGGGGGGGGGGAAGGAGGGGGTTATCTTCCTTAACGAGCTACTTATAGTGTTTTAAAGAAATATTTTCAGTGGCAGCGTTGGTACTGTCGAATTCACAAATTATGAATTACTGAAAAGTAGAAAAAAACAACTAAATAGCGGCGTATGATATGCAGCGGGTCGGCTCGTTTTTATAAAACACTAGTCGGTAGATAGTGGTAATTGACTGATAACAGCTAACTGAAGGTGTTTGGTGACAACAGCTGACTGAAGATGTGTGAGAGCTAACAGCTAACTGATATTATCAATCCTCCAACCCCCCCCCCCCCCCTTCAAATTTTTGACTGTGATAAAACCACTCCTACTACCTTTTAATTTCGGGAATATGTTAATTTTTATATGGGTACATGACTTACGTCAGAGAAAGTAAACGTGGCTGGGCTTAGTGCTGACCACACTATCCCTATAAATGCCAAGGTCACCGAAACAGGTGAACTCGATTTGACCTGCCCCATGGCCCGTATGGTTTTAAATGGTACTTTTAAACGTTAAACACATTGTCTTAAAATATTTTAGTAGTAAATTTTTCAGGCGAATTGAAATCCAAACCATCCAGTTGAGTACATCTAAGTCAGTGTTAACCCATATTTACCAAGCTCTAATCATCCGTGACGTCAGATAGACACGGATTGCGTGGGAGACAAAACGATGACGTCATTCGGTCAAAAACGAGGCGAGCAGGAAACAGTTGTCTAAGGGGAGATAACAAAGGCTTGTCGTAAACGGTGAGCTGCTCTGGCATCGGTCAAACTGGCAGGATGTGACGTGGCTAGCGGAGGCGTGACGTCACTTACACGTGTTGTGGCTAATCTCGTAAGTCTCACCCTCCCACTTTCTTTAAAAACTCAGATAATGTTTTGGTGTCATGCAATGGATTTTAAACATAAAACCCGAGCTTTATGCATCTCTGTTTGTTTTCATACCTTTTTGCTATTTGTTCTGTATGTAAAACTGTAAAACCAGTGGCGTAGCTAGGATTTTTGGGCCCCTATGCAAAAAGTGTTAGTGGGCCCCTCAGAGGCGTAGCGACCCTTCCCGGCGACCGGGGACAAGCTTTCGATTTGAACCCCCCTCCCCTCAGACTTTCGATTTGCACCCCACCCTTCTCAAATTTTCGAAAAAGGGCCCCTATTTGCCTTGGGCCCCTATGCCTTGCTTACGCTAGCTTTACGGTAGCTACGCCGCTGTGTAAAACAACGATCATTAAAAAAAATCTATTGTACCTATAATCAGAAAAAAATGGCGGAGGGAGGCTCAAAGAATGGAACCAGTGGCATTGTCACAAACATTGTTTCTTCCAGACTTTCTTCTCCGGGGGGGGGGGGGGGGCGGACAACATTTTCTGGGCAGGCGGACACTGGGGTAAAAGTATGTTTTCTATATAAATTCCATTTCGTTTGGGGGGGGGGGGGGGGCGGTAGACTGGAAGAAATTGGTCACAAAGTGTAATCAAAATGGCATTTAAAACTTTAGTAACGTTCCATTAACACTCTGTACAGACGAAATATGAGGGACCTATTTTGCTTACGTCAGATTTTGTGAGGGAGTCTTTTACAGACATCAGATCTAGGTGAAGGTCTATGTGAGGGTGTATATGATGGGCTCCTTGCTGACTTCAGATCTATGTGAGGGTCTATGTGAGGGTCTATGTAATGGACTCCTTGCTGACTTCAGATCTATGTGAGGGTCTATGTGAGGGTCTATGTGAGGGTCTATGTAATGGACTCCTTGCTGACTTCAGATCTATGTGAGGGTGTATATGATGGGCTCCTTGCTGACTTCAGATCTATGTGAGGGTCTATGTGAGGGTCTATGTGAGGGTCTATGTGAGGGTCTATGTGAGGGTCTATGTGAGGGTCTATGTGAGGGTCTATGTGAGGGTCTATGTGAGGGTCTATGTGAGGGTCTATGTGAAGGTCTATGTGAGGGTCTATGTGATGGACTCCTTGCTGACTTCAGATCTATGTGAGGGTCTATGTGAGGGTCTATGTGAGGGTCTATGTGAGGGTCTATGTAATGGACTCCTTGCTGACTTCAGATCTATGTGAGGGTCTATGTGAGGGTCTATGTGAGGGTCTATGTAATGGACTCCTTGCTGACTTCAGATCTATGTGAGGGTCTATGTGAGGGTCTATGTGAGGGTCTATGTGAGGGTCTATGTGAGGGTCTATGTGAGGGTCTATGTGAGGGTCTATGTGATGGACTCCTTGCTGACTTCAGATCTATGTGATGGTCTATGTGAGGGTCTATGTAATGGACTCCTTGCTGACTTCAGATCTATGTGAGGGTGTATATGATGGGCTCCTTGCTGACTTCCGATCTATGTGAGGGTCTATGTGAGGGTCTATGTGAGGGTCTATGTGAGGGTCTATGTGAGGGTCTATGTGAGGGTCTATGTGAGGGTCTATGTGAGGGTCTATGTGAGGGTCTATGTGAGGGTCTATGTGAGGGTCTATGTGAGGGTCTATGTGAAGGTCTATGTGAGGGTCTATGTGATGGACTCCTTGCTGACTTCAGATCTATGTGAGGGTCTATGTGAGGGTCTATGTGAGGGTCTATGTGAGGGTCTATGTAATGGACTCCTTGCTGACTTCAGATCTATGTGAGGGTCTATGTGAGGGTCTATGTGAGGGTCTATGTGAGGGTCTGTGTAATGGACTCCTTGCTGACTTCAGATCTATGTGAGGGTCTATGTGAGGGTCTATGTGAGGGTCTATGTGAGGGTCTATGTGAGGGTCTATGTGAGGGTCTATGTGAGGGTCTATGTGAGGGTCTATGTGAGGGTCTATGTGAGGGTCTATGTGAGGGTCTATATGAGGGTCTATGTGATGGACTCCTTGCTGACTTCAGATCTATGTGAGGGTCTATGTGAGGGTCTATGTGAGGGTCTATGTAATGGACTCCTTGCTGACTTCAGATCTATGTGAGGGTCTATGTGAGGGTCTATGTGAGGGTCTATGTGAGGGTCTATGTTAGGGTCTATGTGAGGGTCTATGTGAGGGTCTATGTGATGGACTCCTTGCTGACTTCAGATCTATGTGAGGGTCTATGTGAGTGTCTATGTGAGGGTCTGTGTAATGGACTCCTTGCTGACTTCAGATCTATGTGAGGGTCTATGTGAGGGTCTATGTGAGGGTCTATGTGAGGGTCTATGTGAGGGTCTATGTTAGGGTCTATGTGAGGGTCTATGTGAGGGTCTATGTGATGGACTCCTTGCTGACTTCAGATCTATGTGAGGGTCTATGTGAGGGTCTATGTGAGGGTCTATGTAATGGACTCCTTGCTGACTTCAGATCTATGTGAGGGTGTATATGATGGGCTCCTTGCTGACTTCAGATCTATGTGAGGGTCTATGTGAGGGTCTATGTGAGGGTCTATGTGAGGGTCTATGTGAGGGTCTATGTGAGGGTCTATATGAGGGTCTATGTGAGGGTCTATGTGATGGACTCCTTGCTGACTTCAGATCTATGTGAGGGTCTATGTGAGGGTCTATGTGAGGGTCTATGTGAGTGTCTATGTGAGGGTCTATGTGATGGACTCCTTGCTGACTTCAGGTCTATGTGAGGGTCTATGTGAGGGTCTATGTGAGGGTCTATGTAATGGACTCCTTGCTGACTTCAGATCTATGTGAGGGTCTATGTGAGGGTCTATGTGAGGGTCTATGTGAGGGTCTATGTGATGGGCTCCTTGCTGACAGCAGATCTATGTGGACCCCTTTTACCGACAACAGATCTATGTGAAGGACCCCTTTTACCGACAGCATATCTATGTGAAGGACCCCTTTTACTGACAGCAGATCTATGTGAAGGACCCCTTTTACCGACAGCAGATCTATGTGAAAGACCCCTTTTACCGACAGCAGATCTATGTGAAGGACCCCTTTTACCGACAGCAGATCTATGTGAAGGACCCCTTTTACCGACAGCAGATCTATGTGAAGGACCCCTTTTACCGACAGCAGATCTATGTGAAGGACCTCTTTTACCGACAGCAGATCTATGTGAAGGACCCCTTTTACCGACAGCAGATCTATGTGAAGGACCCCTTTTACCGACAGCAGATCTATGTGAAGGACCTCTTTTACCGACAGCAGATCTATGTGAAGGACCCCTTTTACCGACAGCAGATCTATGTGAAGGACCTCTTTTACCGACAGCAGATCTATGTGAAGGACCTCTTTTACCGACAGCAGATCTATGTGAAGGACCCCTTTTACCGACAGCAGATCTATGTGAAGGACCCCTTTTACCGACAGCAGATCTATGTGAAGGGCCCATTTTACCGACAGCAGATCTATGTGAAGGACCCCTTTTACCGACAGCAGATCTATGTGAAGGACCCCTTTTACCGACAGCAGATCTATGTGAAGGACCCCTTTTACCGACAGCAGATCTATGTGAAGGACCCCTTTTACCGACAGCAGATCTATGTGAAGGACCCCTTTTACCGACAGCAGATCTATGTGAAGGACCCCTTTTATTGACAGCAGATCTATGTGAAGGGCCCATTTTACCGACAGCAGATGTATGTGAAGGACCCCTTTTACCGACAGCAGATCTATGTGAAGGACCCCTTTTACCGACAGCAGATCTATGTGAAGGGCCCCTTTTACCGACAGCAGATCTATGTGAAGGACCCCTTTTACCGACAGCAGATCTATGTGAAGGGCCCATTTTACCGACAGCAGATCTATGTGAAGGGCCCCTTTTACCGACAGCAGATCTATGTGAAGGACCCCTTTTACCGACAGCAGATCTATGTGAATGACCCCTTTTACCGACAGCAGATCTATGTGAAGGACCCCTTTTACCGACAGCAGATCTATGTGAAGGACCCCTTTTACCGACAGCAGATCTATGTGAAGGACCCCTTTTACTGACACCACGACTATTATCGCTACACCTCATTAGTTCTGCTCACACACTTGGCATTCAACATGTTCCTCCATCCACCGACAAGTTTCAAATATCCATCGACAAGTTCAAACATCCATCGACAAGTTTCAAACATCCATCGACAAGTTTCAAACAACCATCGACAAGCTTCAAACATCCATCGACAAGTTTCAAACATCCATCGACAAGTTTCAAACATCCATCGACAAGTTTCAAACATCCATCGACAAGTTTCAAACATCCATCGACAAGTTTCAAACATCCATCGACAAGTTTCAAGCATCCATCGACAAGTTTCAAACATCCACCGACAAGTTTCAAACATCCATCGACAAGTTTCAAACATCCATCGACAAGTTTCAAGCATCCATCGACAAGTTTCAAACATCCATCGACAAGTTTCAAACATCCATCGACAAGCTTCAAACATCCATCGATCTTAAGTGTAGTCCACACGATCTACCCCTGTGGCTTATTCACTGTATTCATCATATTCTTCAACTCGTTATCATGTAACAACATATTAAAGTCAGCCCATATTTAAGACTTAGGGCTAGGTTGTGTTCAACACACTTAATACTACTGCTAGCTTGTCACTAATCATATCAAAACATTCAAATATGTGCTATAGTACTAGTGTGTATGAGAATCTTTAAAAACCTTTTTTTCCAAACACACATGATTACAAACGTTTTATTTCACACAAGCCTTATTACAAACTTATTTTCATACACATCTTAAAATGAACTTATTTTCATACACATTTTAATATAAACTTAATTTCATAGAAACCTTATTACAAACTTATTTTATACAAACCTAATTACAGTCTTATTCACATACAAACCTTATTACAAACTTTCTTCTATACAAATCTTATAATACTTATACTTTAACGACACACACAAACAGTCAACGTGTATTTTTATAATCCTTTTCTTGTCCCACTTCTAGAACGCTAAATTTTCCTCTTAAATAATCCCAGATTTTAGCAAATTGCCTTCAATAAGCTCCTACAATAAATGGACAGTAAAAACTAGATAAAAACCGCGGAGGTTTGGGGGATGATCAATATCCATCGCAGACTCGGGTGCCAGGGCGGGGTATTCAGTTTCTTCCAGGCATCTCTTCGGGGGGAGGGGGGGGGGCAGAAAATGGAATTTATATAGAAAATATATACTTGTAACAGTGTCCCCCCCCCCCCCCAAAAATTTCAAGTGCCCCCCCCCCCCGGACAAAAAAGTCTGGAAGAAACACGGGGTGTTCCGGTGTGAAACAGCATCGGGTGCCGGGAGGGGGGGGGCGAGAAACAGCCTGGGTGCCGGGAGGGGGGGGCGAGAAACAGCCTGGGTGCCGTGCCAGAGTATCCTCGATTGAAGCTGGTGGTTGAGACGTCAACAACTTGACGTCCTGGAGGTTGGGATGGTTAGTGAGATGTGAAACGAGAGCTTGTGTGTTATGGTCAACATAAACATTCGTGGGGCAATATTGAGCTTAATTAACTCTTCTGGTGAAAGGACAACATTGAGCTTAATCAACTCTTCTGGTAATAATGCAGAATTGAGCTTAATCAACTGTTTTCGTGATGGGTCCAGTATTGAGCTTAATACATTGTTCTGATAACGCGCCCTATTGAATTTAATACATGCATTAGTAATGAAAATACGTAATTAACAAGCTTTAAGACTATTTATGACAGATCTGTATAGCTGGTTTAGTTTAACTGGTCGTATTCTATCATCATCTGCAGTAGATGATCTTCATATCTATCAACCATAGGGAGATATTATGTGCGGTAAACCCATTCGACCTTCGATAAAAATCTAGAAGAAGATCCATAAAAATAGCAGATAAAAACTAATTTACTGGAAATCAATAGTCTCTGATCAATGGCTTGTATAATAGGATCAAATTTGCAGCATAAGAAATTGCCTAATTTTATTTTTTCATTTCCTGGTTTTTGAGTTGTCAAGAATTGGCTTATGTAGCAGAGCTGTATCGTAGATTGGGTTTATTTTAGGTTCATTGTTGATATCAAGGTCTGTGTTGATATCAAGGTCTGTGTTGATATCAAGGTCTGTGTTGATATCAAGGTCTGTGTTGATATCAAGGTCTGTGTTGATATCAAGGTCTGTGTTGATATCAAGGTTTGTGTTGATATCAAGGTTTGTGTTGATATCAAGGGATGTGTTGATATCAAGGTGTGTGTTGATATCAAGGTCTGTGTTGATATCAAGGTCTGTGTTGATATCAAGGTCTGTGTTGATATCAAGGTCTGTGTTGATATCAAGGGATGTGTTGATATCAAGGTCTGTGTTGATATCAAGGTCTGTGTTGATATCAAGGGATGTGTTGATATCAAGGTCTGTGTTGATATCAAGGTCTGTGTTGATATCAAGGGATGTGTTGATATCAAGGTTTGTGTTGATATCAAGGTCTGTGTTGATATCAAGGTCTGTGTTGATATCAATGTCTGTGTTGATATCAAGGTCTGTGTTGATATCAAGGTGTGTTGATATCAAGGTCTGTGTTGATATCAAGGTATGTGTTGATATCAAGGTCTGTGTTGATATCAATGTCTGTGTTGATATCAAGGTCTGTGTTGATATCAATGTCTGTGTTGATATCAAGGTCTGTGTTGATATCAAGGTCTGTGTTGATATCAAGGTCTGTGTTGATATCAAGGTTTGTGTTGATATCAAGGTTTGTGTTGATATCAAGGTTTGTGTTGATATCAAGGTTTGTGTTGATATCAAGGTTTGTGTTGATATCAAGGGATGTGTTGATATCAAGGTCTGTGTTGATATCAAGGGATGTGTTGATATCAAGGTCTGTGTTGATATCAAGGTTTGTGTTGATATCAAGGTTTGTGTTGATATCAAGGTCTGTGTTGATATCAAGGGATGTGTTGATATCAAGGGATGTGTTGATATCAAGGGATGTGTTGATATCAAGGTTTGTGTTGATATCAAGGGATGTGTTGATATCGGGGATTACGTGTTCGGTTGATGTCCTGGATGTGTAGATATTAAGTGTTAGGGTGATGTCTTTGTTGTAGATCTTACGTGTAAGATTGATGTCTTTGTTTGTGCTGATCGTACGTGTAAATTCGATATCAAAGCTAGGCATTAACAACTAATACACATATGTTTGAGTCCAGTTATAGATCTAGTATTGTTTATAATCGCATACCTTATTTGTGTGTGTTTACTTGATTGTTACTGTGTATATATTTGTGATTTTGTGTTGTTGTTTTTTAAAAGACTTGTTTTTTTTTTACAATTTAACATTAATCTCATCAATCAAATTGTCCATTTGAACTAAATTAAAATCAGAAAACGATATGCAAATACTTCAATAATGACGCTTTACAGCTCTTGTTAAATTCGCAGTATTTTTACTTTTCCGTATACAGAGTATATTGTAATCGTGCACAAAAATCACATGAAATTTTGACAGTTTTCCCTGTTTTACTTCTCAGTACTTCATTGGAAAATTGTAAAACTATGTTTTTCCGAATCAGGGTGGTGTGATATGTCGAGATCTGTAAAAATCTCGATTTTTTTTTTTTGCACGATTATAATACTTCCTCTTTACTTCGTACACGAGAAAGTAAAAATGGATGAAAAATGTCTGTATCCCTAGTTGCCATCCCCCGTAGTGTTATATAAGAATATTGGAGAAAGTTTAGGGGCGATCACTCCCGCTTTATTAAAAAGTGTTTTCCATTCCGGACAGACTCGATGTTAACTAAATTCTCCATGAATCTGTTACATGTGATGGCTGATGGACCCATCGGTTCAACCCACTTTCAGCGGGGCGCCTCAAGCGTGTAGACTGCCGTGAAATAAAAACCTGGCTGAAAATTGAATTCCCTGCTGTCAACGGATGGGGGGCGGGGGGGGGGGGGGGGGGGCAAGTCGACTCGCACTTCGTACCACGTCGACCTTCTACACTAGGGTGGGGGGGGTATGGACACGGGGAGAGGAACCCAATAGTCTGTGTGATTAAAGTCTCGAACAAGCTCTTTTTTTCACTATAAATTTAAAGAGTTAGTTGAAGTAAATCCTTTAAGTTTTTAATTATAAGAGTGATTTCATAGTTATGAATAGTTATGCTTAGAGAACTCTAAGATACGTCAACACAAAGCTAGTCTTGGTTTATATCCTGTGAATTCTAAAAGATGTCGAGTTAATTCTATAAAATTGTCCAGTTGATTCATAAAAATGTCGAGCTGATTCTTTAAAAGCTGCAATAGCTTATTAAAAACGTCCAGCTGATTTTTAAAAATGTCCAGCTTATTCTTTAAAATGTCCAGCTTATTATTTTAAATGTCCAGTTGATTCTTAAAGATGTCCACTTGATTGTAACAGATGTCCAGTAGATTGTTAAATTCATCAAGAAAGAATGGCCTTGAAACCGCCGTATAGCCCTGATTAAATGAGATGAGAATAAAGTGTCCAAGGATTTAATTGGGCTTAATTACAGATGTGTTTTTAAACAAACAAAATTCTGTTACACGCTCCTAAGGGGCGTGGCTTTCATGAAAACAAAATAATATTATTTGCAGTGTCCTTGACGTTGAAATCCTTTCAAAAGATGATGTACGCATGAAGATAACATTTTCTAATTTAAAAAACGCCTAGTTTGGATATAAAAATAAGAATGCAAAAATGATATCTTTGCTGGTGTTTTTTAATATCTTTGCTGGTGTTTTTTAAACTTTGTGTTGTAATGTGATGGAGCTAAGGCCTGTATAGCAGGGCTGAATTTGAGAA